AATCCATCATAACTCAAAAATAAGGAAGTTTTCGAGTAATTACCATATTTTACTTTTATAGAAAATTATTATATAATTTTTATAAAATAGGGTGAACAAAATATTAATCCATAGAGGATTAGATATTACAAGATTTGGGAACGCAAATATGGTATTTAGTTCTCTCTCTTCTGACAGGCTGAATTTTGACGAAAACGCCCCTACAACTGACACAACCTCTGTGGCAAGATAAAATGTATAACCGACAAGAATTCAGAGCATTAAATGCTCGCAAATCTCTGTTGCAAGATAAGGAAAGATTGCGCCGGCGTTATGGGGAAGAGAAAGATTTTGCGAAAATAAAATGATTACGGAGATATTTCTCGGTTTGTTGAAGTAGCAACCGTATGGGTTCGTGTATTTATTACCGAACTAGCGTCGTTGCCCAGACCATAAAAGAAAAGCACAATAAAAGTTCAGATACCAGGTTAATGAAACGAAGAACAGAGGAGAGATTGGAAGATTCTGGGGAGCATTAAATAGCATCATTAAATACGATAAGGTATAAAACTGTCGTCTACTATAAATCTCGTTCCTTTTCGTTATTGTTAGTGTGATAAAAATCATGATGCTCGGTACTAACAAGGATATGACTTGTTTTCCGCAGGAAAATTATGGCTATGTTGGTGCGGTTGGTTAGAGGGGAGTGGAGAAAAGACGACGAAGGCCGTTACGAACATGTATCCGCTTTGGAAGGTTTTACGATGGCAGTTCGGCTGAGGGAGACAGATGGATATAATAAAGTTGTTACTGCGGTAAAGGAAAGATTGGCGCTTCGCGAGACAGACGACATCGAGCTGAGTTATCAGTGGCCGCAGTGGATGATGGGTCCCGAGTGGAAACGAGCAGACCCAATATACATACTTAATGATGAAGATATGACGTTGTTCATGGCGATAAGGGCTGATCTTGAAGAGGTGCATGATGCGGACATCGACTTTAACCAAACTGCTGAACTACATGCTGAACTACATCCTGTACCACATCCTGTACCAGAAGTCCCAGCAGGTCCCATGACACGTTCAAAGTCTAAACAACTCAAGAAAAGGTTCAACTTAGCTGTGCAAGACATTCTAAGCTCCTTAGAGCTGGAGGAAGTAAACTGGTCCGTAGCACCCCAAACAGGATATGATCCAATAGCCGAAGAAGAGCTTGCCGAAGCATTCACCCAAATGAGTCTTGAACGAACTACTCCCCAAGGTATGAAATCTTCTATGACAGATCCAGAAGCCCCTAGAAGGCAAGAGAAGACTTTGGAGCTGCAGGAGACGTACGAGACAAGCTTCACTTCCGAGAGTGATCAAGAGAGTCAAGATCAAGACCAAGACACCAAGGACGTGGAAGAGCTCCAAGACACTGATCAAGATACTCAAGAGGAACACCAGGAAGGCCCCTACTTCAAGAAACCAACAAGTAAACGAGCACAAGACATGACTCATGAAGTAGGTCAGAGAGTACTACAGGAAGTGACTCAGAGAACATCTATTGGGCCTAAAACGCATCCCGGTAAGTTTTATTCAATTTATACTATCTTTGCAGGTCCAAGAAGCCCACACAACGGCTAGATTCGTCACCACAACGTGCTCCTCAAGAGAGTTTAAGTAGTTTCCTTATTTAGTTATTTTCTTTCTAAAAACAATGGTTTTTGTGTTTTGCTTTTATTTGCTTCCTTTTTTGTGTTTTTTGCATTTATTTTCGGCCCTAGGGCTAGCTGAAGGACTCTTATAAAGTCCCCCTGCAGCAGTTGTACGATTTTTCACCCTTGATTATCAATAAAGAACCCGAATTTTCTTACTTCTTCTCTTTAAGTGTTCTTAAGAGAATAAGCTTGTTCTTTGTCTTGTGTGTGTGATTCACCAAGGCTGAGTTCGTGTACTGTATCAGAGACCAATCACATCTCTGTGGTGTACTTCAATCCGCCATCACTTTCATCTATTTCGATCCCACACGAGAGAAGCGACCGCCATCGTGTTAGATCTACATCATCGACCATCAATCCTTCACAAGAGAGAAGCGACCGCCAGCTTGTGAAGCCACCATATCTATCCCGATACTAGTCTCACCACCGAGTCTTGTATCATCTGGTATCAGAGCATTGGTTTGCTCTTCCCTTGCCAGGTTCTATCGTTTCCTTTATATTCTGCATTAGTTTCTGAATCAGTTTCTGTACTAGTTCAGTTTCTGTTTATTTAATTTAAAAAAAAAAAAAAAAAAATCGTTTGCTGCATAATAGTTTATTAGGTTATTTCATTGAGTTTTATATTTAAAAAAAAAAAATATCATAGTTTGTTTCCATTAATTGTTTAATTCATTTTGCGTACTATTTTCTTCATAAAAAAAAAAAAAAAATTGCTTTCAGTTTTTGTTGCATTGATATTTCCTGTCAATTATTTGTTTTAATTTGATAATATAAAAAAAAAAAAAAAGTTTAGTTATTAAATTTTGTTCTGTATTAGCAAGTGAGTCAAGAAGTACCTCAGGAAGTGCGTCAGCAAGTTCTAGCTTTCTTGTTTTCGACTTGTTCCTTTCAATTCTTGTGGTACGTTGATTCCTTTGTTGTTTTTGTCTAAGTGCAGATCACTTTTAGGCATACACTATGGGAGACGAAGCAGCTATACCTCAAAACGCCATGATGCAAATGATGGCTACTATGACGGCGGAGATAAGAGGATTAGGGCAAAGGCTAGGCCGTTTGGAGCAGCCCCAACCCAGGGTTGAAGTTAGACCGGATCAGGCTCAAAGGAATGCCCGCGAAGAGGCGGACGAGTTTCCTGACTTGGATGATGATGATGATCCACCACCCGATCCTGTGAGACGTCAACATCAACGGAGAGAAGATCCATTGATGAGGAACCATGCACGGAGAGTGGAGCCCCGTGAGCAGAACCGAGATATCAAACTAATACCTCCTACTTTTGCAGGAAAATCAAATCCAGAGGCGTACATGGACTGGGAGAGACGGATGGAATACATATTCGATTGCTATGGATATGGAGAAGCTCGAAAGGTGGCCTTAGCAGCCGCTCAGCTCACCGAAAATGCTTTGTCTTGGTGGGATAGGACAGTAGCTGACCGGAGGAGACAAAGATTTGATCCCATAAGCAATTGGGGAGACATGAAGTACCTCTTAAGGTTGAGGTATATCCCTGATCATTATCATAGAGACTTACAAAAACGTTTTAGAAAATTGTCTCAGGGAACAAGGACCGTGGATGAGTACTTTGAGGAGTTTGAGAAGCTCATGAACTCCTTGGAGATAGAAGAATCCGACGAATCTCTCATGGCTCAATTCATAGACGGACTACAAGAGAGGATTCAAAGGAAGGTGGAGAGAGCTAAATACAATGGACTCCACGAGTTGTTACACTTAGCTGTACAAGTGGAGCAACAAATCAAGCGTAAGACATCCTTAAGCAACCGTTCAAGAAACAACACGCCTTGGAATACAAGCAACAACCGAACCTTGGATAAAGGGAAAGCCGTAGACAATGATTCTAAGTTCAAGAACAAGTCTAATGAGGCGCCTAAAACCTCTAAGCCTGAACCAGGTAAGTTCCCTAGTACTAATCAATCTCGTTCTCGTGACATTACTTGTTTCAAATGTCAAGGTAGGGGACACATGGCGAGAGAATGTCCGAACCAAAGGGTGATGATTCTCACTTCTAGTGGTGACTACGAGTCACAAGATGAGCAAGAGGAGGGTTTAGATGAACATGATGAGGACGTTGAGTACCCGGATGTAGGAGAACTCCTTGTCATCCGTAGGACATTGAGTATGTTTGTCAACCCCGAAGAGAAGGTGCAACGAGAAAACATCTTCCACACTAGATGCACCATCAAGAACAAGGTATGTAACTTAATTATTGATGGAGGTTCTTGTACTAATGTTGCTAGCAAGTACATGGTAGACAGGTTAGGTCTTCAGAAAACAAAGCATCCGAGACCATACAAGCTTAGATGGCTCAATGACGACACCGAGCTAAAAATTGCTGAACAAGTGACTGTATCATTCAGCGTGGGAAAATATCAAGATCAAGTCGTTTGTGACGTAGTGCCAATGAGAGCCGGCCATCTTCTCCTTGGAAGACCATGGCAGTTTGACCGAGCAACATGTCATAATGGACGTACCAACCATTATTCTTTCACCTACAAGGACCGTAAGTATAACCTTGCCCCCCTAAGTCCCTCAGAAGTTCATGAATTACAAATTCACATGAACAAGGAGGAAGAGGTAAGGAATTCTAGTCTTTACTTAAGCTCTAATGATGTTTGTAAAACCATGAGTGCCAATGGCACCGTGCTACTAATGGTTTTCAAAGAATGTCTTAGTACAGGTTTAGGTGACATCGAGTTACCCGCTGAGGTACAAGCTGTACTAGATCAATACAAAGACATATTTCCGGAGGAGATTCCACCAGGGCTACCTCCTATTCGTGGCATAGAGCATCAGATCGATCTCGTTCCAGGTTCTGCTTTACCTAACAAACCAGCCTATAGGATGAATCCGGAGGAATCGAAGGAGCTAGAAAAGCAAGTGCGTGATCTAATGGAAAAAGGATACATCAGAGAGAGTCTCAGCCCGTGTGCGGTACCTGTCCTATTAGTTCCAAAGAAGGACGGTACATGGAGGATGTGTGTAGACTGTCGTGCCATCAACAATATCACCATCAAGTACCGACACCCCATCCCGAGACTAGACGACATGTTGGATGAGCTTAGTGGTGCAACCATCTTCTCCAAAGTTGACTTAAGGAGTGGCTATCATCAAGTTAGAATGAGAGAAGGAGACGAGTGGAAGACAGCCTTCAAAACCAAGCAAGGTCTCTATGAGTGGCTTGTTATGCCATTCGGGCTGACTAACGCACCAAGTACCTTCATGCGTTTAATGAACCAGGTTCTAAGGTCATTTATTGGTAAATTTGTTGTTGTTTACTTTGATGACATACTTATTTACAGTAAGTGCTATTCTGATCACGTTCAACATTTAGAGTTGATTTTAAAAACGCTTCGGAAGGAAGGCCTTTATGCTAACCTGAAGAAGTGCACCTTTTGTACTGACAAGTGTGTGTTCTTAGGTTTTGTAGTAAGTAAACATGGCCTACAGGTAGATGAGGAGAAGATCAAGGCAATCCGTGAATGGCCTACTCCAACATCTATTGGACACGTCCGTAGCTTTCATGGACTAGCAAGTTTCTACAGAAGGTTTGTCAGAGACTTTAGTACAGTGGCTGCGCCAATGACTGCTGTGATCAAAAAGAATGTGCCTTTCTCATGGGGAGAAGCTCAAGATCAGTCTTTCAACACGTTGAAGGAGAGGCTCACACAAGCACCGGTCTTAGCCTTACCAGATTTTGAAGTTATGTTCGAAGTAGAGTGTGATGCATCAGGTTTGGGAATTGGAGCTGTACTACATCAGAGGAAGAGACCCGTAGCTTTCTTTAGTGAGAAACTAAGTGGAGCTGCATTGAATTACCCAACCTACGACAAGGAGCTTTATGCTTTAGTTCGAGCTCTTGAGACTTGGCAACATTACTTGTTGTCCAAGGAATTCATCATCCATACCGATCACGAGACTCTCAAGCATCTTAAGGGTCAGACTTCACTTAAGAGGAGACATGCCAAGTGGTTGGAGTTCATTGAGACAGTTTCCATATGTGATAAAGTACAAGAAGGGAAAGGAGAACGTGGTAGCTGACGCTTTGTCGAGGAGATATGCCCTTATAGCTACTATGGAAGCTAAGGTGATGGGATTTGAGCATATCAAGGAGATGTATAAGGATGATCCAGAACTAGGAGAGTGCTACAAAGATCATGGCAAAGGACTTTACAAAGCATTCTACTTGCAAGATGGGTTTCTATTCAAGACAAGCGGTTGTGCATCCCTCAAGGTTCTATGCGAGACTTGATACTTAGTGAAGCGCATGGTGGAGGTTTGATGGGTCATTTTGGTGTTGACAAGACCTTGGCCGTAGTAATGGAGCATTTCTTTTGGCCCCACCTCAAGAAAGACGTTGAGAGATTTTGTGCCCGTTGTATTGTTTGCCACAAAGCCAAATCCAGGTTACATCCTCATGGTCTTTACTTACCATTACCTATTCCTAACGCCCCTTGGGTAGATGTTTCTATGGACTTTGTATTAGGATTGCCTAAGATTAGACACAAGGATTCAATCTTTGTTGTTGTGGACCGGTTCTCCAAGATGGCACACTTTATCCCGTGTGACAAGACCAATGACGCGACTCAAACCGCAGATTTGTTCTTCAAGGAAGTAGTGCGCCTCCATGGAATTCCAAGACCATAGTCTCTGATCGTGACACCAAATTCTTGAGTCACTTTTGGAGAACCCTTTGGAGAAAGTTAGGTACCAAGCTTCTATTCTCTACAACTTGTCATCCTCAAACGGATGGACAAACCGAAGTGGTAAACCGAACTCTCTCAACCTTACTTAGAGCTACCCTCGGTAAAAATATGAGTACATGGCTTGATTGCATTCCTTTTATCGAGTTTGCTTATAATCGTGCCGTTCACTCGGCTACAAAACTATCTCCTTTTGAGATAGTCTATGGAATTAACCCCTTGTCGCCACTGGATTTAGTACCCTTGCCTCAGAAAGAACAGGTTTGCCAAGATGGTTTAAGACGTGGAGAAATCATCAAGAAGTTACATGACAAGGCCAAAGACAACTTGGAAAAGAAAAATGCCGACAACAAACGCAAAGCTGATCGGGGAAGGAAGGAAATGTTATTTGAACCAGGGGATTGGGTCTGGCTACATATGCGACCTGAGAGGTTTCCAACGCAGAGAGCATCGAAGCTAGCACCAAGAGGCGATGGTCCATTCAAGATCCTTGAGAAGATCAACGACAATGCCTATCGTTTAGAGCTACCGAGTGAGGTAAAAATTTCCCATACGTTTAATGTCGCTAACTTATCTGCTTATGATCCAGGAGATTCAGTTTTGAGGACAAAACCTTTTGAAGAGGGAGGGAATGATGCGGACATCGACTTTAACCAAACTGCTGAACTACACGCTGAACTACATCCTGTACTACATCCTGTACCAGAAGTCCCAGCAGGTCCCATGACACGTTCAAAGTCTAAACAACTCAAGAAAAGGTTCAACTTAGCTGTGCACGACATTCTAAGCTCCTTAGAGCTGGAGGAAGTAAACTGGTCCGTAGCACCCCAAACAGGATATGATCCAATAGCCGAAGAAGAGCTTGCCGAAGCATTCACCCAAATGAGTCTTGAACGAACTACTTCCCTAGGTATGAAATCTTCTATGACAGGTCCAGAAGCCCCTAGAAGGCAAGAGAAGACTTTGGAGCTGCAGGAGACGTACGAGACAAGCTTCACTTCCGAGAGTGATCAAGAGAGTCAAGATCAAGACCAAGACACCAAGGACGTGGAAGAGCTCCAAGACACTGATCAAGATACTCAAGAGGAACTCCAGGAAGGCCCCTACTTCAAGAAACCAACAAGTAAACGAGCACAAGACGTGACTCCTGAAGTAGGTCAGAGAGTACTACAGGAAGTGACTCAGAGAACATCTATTGGGCCTAAAACGCATCCCGGTAAGTTTTATTCAATTTATACTATCTTTGCAGGTCCAAGAAGCCCAGACAACGGCTAGGTTCGTCACCACAACGTGCTCCTCAAGAGAGTTTAAGTAGTTTCCTTATTTTGTTTATTTTCTTTCTAAAAACAATGGTTTTTGTGTTTTGCTTTTATTTGTTTCCTTGTTGCGTTTTTTGCATTTAATTTTCGGCCCTAGGGCTAGCTGAAGGACTCTTATAAAGTCCCCCTGCAGCAGTTGTACGATTTTTCACCCTTGATTATCAATAAAGAACCCGAATTTTCTTACTTCTTCTCTTTAAGTGTTCTTAAGAGAATAAGCTTGTTCTTTGTCTTGTGTGTGTGATTCACCAAGGCTGAGTTCGTGTACTGTATCAGAGACCAATCACATCTCTGTGGTGTACTTCAATCCGCCATCACTTTCATCTATTTCGATCCCACACGAGAGAAGCGACCGCCATCGTGTTAGATCTACATCATCGACCATCAATCCTTCACAAGAGAGAAGCGACCGCCAGCTTGTGAAGCCACCATCTCTATCCCGATACTAGTCTCACCACCGAGTCTTGTATCACTTAGTCACATATCCGACGGTTACAGGAGCATCTACGGTTAGGCTCGCCATATTGGTATTTGTCAGTTAGTCAAGTCAGAAACTACGTTGCTTTGATTTTGGCTGTAACATCTTCTTCTCACGACAATAGCTGGAGCATCTTCTGTATGCTCTAATCGGTAAGTTTATGTAGTTTTGTTCTACAAATAATGTTTATGATTACGAAATTATAGCAATTGGATTTCATAAATTGCTTTTTCTTCAATCATAAACACTGTCGAAGAAGGGATGGATTCAATATTCAAACATAGTGGCAGTGAATTAACAAATGACGAGACTAATAAGAAATTGCACATGAGCTGGTAAAATATATTTTGTTGTTCAACTAGTTTTTTTTTAAAACCCCAAACGCAATCTGTGTACAATGAGGTGTTTGGACATCAAACATACAATCCAGTAGATGGAGACTTTGAAGTTTTTGTTTGCCCAAAACAATGAAAGGGATGTGTTCGTGGGTCAAAATTCATCTGACTATTGGGGCAGCAACATAGATACAGAAGTCGTATCCTTCACATAACTTAACTTAGCATTTATGTTATGAAGTATATTCGTCATAAGCCACACATATATTATCCGATTATGGGTATTTTCTCCAAAGACCTTCACTTGTCTTTTCATGCAATTTCAAAGTAAACGATAGTGATCACTCACTTAACGGATGTCACATGACTTTTAAGTGTGACATTAAAAGATACTTTGACTTTTTTTATTTTATTTTTTATAAATACAGATTCTTTTCTTGTTGAATTCTTATAACCGTGGAAATTTTTGAATTAAACACACTCTCAAGTTGCTTTGGAGTTTTTTTCAATTCGTTTGCTTTTTTTTTTTTATATCTTACTTGCAATGGAAGGGAAGCTTTTCTGGGGCCAATACTTGATATGGGTGATGTTACTGTTGGGGCAGCTACATGGATGCAAAGGCTGCATTATGAAAGAAAGAGAAGCTTTGTTGGAGCTTAAGAAATACTTGATGTCAAGGAGTCGAGAATCAGGGCTCGACTATGTTCTCCCTACTTGGACTAATGATACAAAGAGCGATTGCTGCCAGTGGGATGGCATTAAATGCAATCGTACAAGCCGGCGGGTTATCGGGCTTTCTGTTGGTGATATGTACTTCAAAGAGAGCTCTTCTTTAAACCTTTCTTTGCTCCATCCTTTTGAAGAGGTTCGAAGTCTGAACTTATCTACGGAAGGATACAACGAATTCAATGGCTTCTTTGATGACGTAGAAGGTATACCACACTTTTCACTGCGTTTAGTTTACCTTTGTAGTTTTTCTATTTTGAGCAATGTTCAAAAAATGTTAGCCGCTAAACAGGCGGTAATCAGGACCTAAGAAATTTAAGTGGTTTAGACGCTTATAACATAAAATATTTTATAATATACTATTATACAAATTATATAAAAGTATTAATTAAACCGTAAACAAAAATTAGACAAAATATTTATTTAATTTATAACACACAATATATGAACATTTATAACTATGCATATAGAGATAAAAACTTAGTTGAATATTAAAAAAAATACAATAAAACGATATTTGTGCGATTTTAGGCAGTCGAGTCGTTTAGGCGTCGCATAAGCGCTAGAGCCTAGGTGGGACTTAGACGACTGCCTAGAACGCTTTTTAGACATTTTACCTACATTTGAAAATTCAAAATTTTTAGATCTTAATTAAGTATATGTGGCTGATGTCTATATGACAACATTATATTACATCCGTTTTCTATTAGAGTCTATACAACATTTGCATGTAGGGTTGGCTATCTTATTTTTGTATACTTTGTTAACACGATTTTTCGATTTGCAGGTTATAGAAGCTTAAACAGATTAAGAAACTTGCAGATCATGGATCTCTCAACAAATTATTTCAACTACAGCATATTTCCTTTTCTTAATGCCGCTACATCACTTACAACTCTTATTCTCACGTATAACGAAATGGATGGACCTTTTCCTATCAAAGGTGTGTTTTTCGATTTGTAAGATCTTGGTGGACAACCAAGTTTTAGTTCTAATTATGCTTATATTCTATTAGACTATCTTTCAGGACTAAAAGACTTGACAAACTTGGAACTGCTGGATTTGAGAGCAAACAAACTAAAAGGCTCCATGCAAGGTAGAATCTACTGATCTACGTCAATTGAAACTTTAAACAAATTTAACTCCGTACTTTATTGTATAATTAGTTTATATAAGATTGGTTTATGCCATATCATATCAACATTAAGTAATAGGTGTCTTGGACTGTGTCTCTTTGTCTTGTGGCAGAGTTGACTCATCTGAAAAAGCTGAAAGCTCTGGATTTAAGTTCGAATGAATTTTATAGCTCAATGGAATTGCAAGGCAAGCTCGCTTTCTTTTTAAAAGTTTTTCTATGAATATATACCTTATTTATATATTGATAATGATCATCTTGTAAAGTACAATATTTTTGTCTTTAATTGTTTCAGAACTAAAGAATTTGATTAACTTGGAAGTCTTTGGTCTTGCTCAGAATCATGTGGACGGACCTATACCAATAGAAGGTGATCTTTATTTTCTTCACCGTCAAGCTAAGATTCTGTATGAGAACTTCTCGAGAGGAAGACAACTACTCTTATTATTCTCATTATCTTTTTGTTTCCAAACTATCTTTTTTGTAGTATTCTGTAAAATTAAGAATCTGCGAGAGCTCGATCTCAAAGGAAATAATTTTATAGGCAACCTACCTCTTTGTTTAGGTAGCTTGAAGAAGCTACGAGTCCTCGATCTCTCATCCAACCAACTAAGTGGAAATCTACCGTCTAGTTTCAGTAGCCTTGAGTCTCTCGAATACCTATCATTGTTAGAGAACAATTTCGCTGGCTCATTCTCGCTCAATCCGCTCACCAACCTTACAAAGCTCAAGGTGTTCAAACTTTCATCAAGATCACATACGATACAAGTCAAGATGGAGAGTACTTGGCAGCCAAAATTTCAACTGAGTGTTGTTATACTACGACTTTGCATCTTGGAGGAAACCCCTTCCTTTCTCGTGTACCAGAAAAACTTGCGACTAGTTGATCTATCGAGCAACAAATTATCTGGAAATATTCCTACCTGGCTGCTGACGAATAATCCCGAACTTGAAGTCCTACAGTTGCAGAATAATTCATTTTTCAGCTTTCCAATGCCTACAATAGTTCATAATTTGCAGATCTTGGATTTCTCAGCAAATAATATCGGGAAGTTCCCTGTTAAGATGGACCATGCACTACCGAATCTGGTACGTTTAAATGGCTCGAATAATGGGTTCCAAGGGAATTTTCCATCGTCTATTGGTGAGATGAAGAATATTTCATTCTTGGATCTATCTAATAATAACTTCTCTGGGAAGTTACCTAGAAGCTTTGTCACAGGTTGTGTTTCACTAATGTTCCTGAAGCTCTCTCACAACAAATTCAGCGGCCATTTCCTCCCTAGAGAAACAAACTTCCCTTCACTTGACGTGTTGAGAATGGATAACAACTTATTTACGGGGAAGATCGGAGGTGGTTTGCGTAACTCCACATTGTTGCGGATTCTAGACATGTCCAACAATGAGCTCACTGGTGCTATTTCAAGATGGTTATTTGAATTTTCTTATTTGGATTACGTATTGATATCCAACAATTTCTTAGAAGGTACGATACCACCTTCTTTGTTGGGAATGCCATTTCTTTCGTTTCTCGACCTTTCTGGAAACCAATTTTCTGGAGCCTTACCGTCACATATTGATAGCGAGCTCGGGATATATATGTTCTTGCAGAACAACAACTTCACAGGGCCAATCCCGGATACACTATTGAAAAGTGTTCAGATACTTGATCTGCGGAACAATAAACTCTCTGGGAGTATCCCGCAGTTTGTTGATACAGAGAGCATAAATATTCTTTTGTTGAGGGGGAACAATTTAACAGGATCTATTCCAAGGGAGCTTTGTGATTTGAGAAACATCAGACTTTTAGATCTCTCGGACAACAAGCTCAATGGTGTCATACCTTCATGCCTCTATAATTTATCATTTGGACGCTCACAAGACGACACAATGGCTCTCAACATTCCTCCCTCTTTCCTTCAAACAAGCCTTGAGTTGGAATTATAC